ATCACCCCTCTCTGCCTCGTGCCTTCGCTGCCGCTGACTCGAGCACCTCCGTCGACCTCGAATCGTTTCGTGCCGGTCGAGGAGATGCAGGACGGGAAGGGTGTTCCGTCGCCCACTGCGCCCGGATGCCCAACTCAGCGATCGTCAAGGGGATCGTCCCGTACTCGCCATCCGCGTGGCGTTTCCTCGCATCAGCCAAGCGTGCCTCCCAAGTGTCCGCTACACCCGCTTCTACAACGGGGTCGACCATGGCGACTAACGCTGCTGCCGGCCTACGAACGACTTAGTAGGTGCAAAAGTCGGCTCCTATCTGAAGGTCGCGTGTTCGATCCACGCTCACCGCACCATGCGGAGAATCACTCACTCTACAACGGTAGTGAGCTAGACTACGGGGTTGGCACGAACTACTAGGAGTGATCGTAGCTTTGCTTGGTTCCTTAGCACTTGCGCATAGACGGGAGAGATTGGCAAGAGTTTCCACTAGCAAAGTTGGAATTACAGAATGGTTGAAACAAGCAATGGCAGAATGACTACATCAGGCACCTAGCAACCCTGCAGCTAGCCTGGTCGACAAACAGCACAGCTCGGTCGACCGCCTGCCAGCGTTGCGTAGAGGAGCCGCGCCAGCACTGCAGAAAGGCGACCTGCCAACATTGCAGGTCGACGGCGTGCCAACGCTGCAGCTGTGCGGCTGTCCAGCGTTGCCCCGTAGAAGACAGCAGTGCGCATGCTCGTTGGTGCGCGCAGACGATTGGGCCGACTTGCATTGTTGTGCATCTGTCGGCTGTTGTCTGCGCCTGACGAGCCACATCGACTTCGGGATACCAGCCCAAAGTCGCCTTCGTCATCGCGATCTCGGCGAGCAAAACTCGTCAAGCAGGTTACCCGGTCGACCTGGTCGACCCCCAAGTGCTCTGGTCGACCACCAAGTCCCTCTGGTCGACCACAGCTCCCGTCGAGCTACCCCCTGGTCGACGGACCCCTTCCGTCGACCAGAACTGCTCCGTCGACCTCCCGGTCGAGCTGCAGGTCGACGGGATGCCCCGCGGACCTCCCGGTCGAGCTGGAGTTCGACGGAATGCTTTGCAGACCTCCTGGTCGAACTGTAGGTCGACGGACTGCTCCATCGACCCTCAGGTCGAACTGCAGGTCGACGGACTGCTCCGTCGACCTCCCGGACGGCCCACCCGTCGCCCAGGCCAGTCAGTTGCAGCTGTCGAGCTCCCTGGTCGACAGCAACACCACAGCGGTCTCCTGCAGCTCGACGAAACCTGTCGAGCAGCTCTCCCACTGTGAACGGTCGGCTGCTACTCCCGTACATCCGACCAAGTCGTCGGCATTGCCCAAGCGAGGGCGGGGCCAACACTCCATTCCCGTTAACAAATGACGCGCTAGTGAAAAGGTGCCACTTGGGCCTTATGTCAGGGTTGGGAAATGTCGAAGCGTATGGCCGGGTCGCGGATTACCAACCAAGCCAGGCGGTTTGGGCGCGATGGTCATGTTGGCGGGAACATTGTCGAGGTGAGTGTCGCAATGCAGGTAATGGCTGTTATTGCGTGTACAGTGGCGGGAAGAGTCGTGTACGCGGTATGCATTGTGACGTGAAGTTAGGGCGTGTCCAGCGCGTACATTTACAGCTTACCTGCCGCTACAATTACCATATTTCTCGAATGTAACCACCATCTTACATTGTTTTGAACTCGTACACCTAAGATGTAAACTACGGGCACAGCCCACAAGTCTGACGAATTGGAAAAATGGCGCGCAAAGCACATAACAACTTACTCATTATGACATGTATGCATGTGAAACTGCTACAGTGGGTGATTCTACAAATTTTACATTTTATTTTGCGAGAGAAGTTTCGCTAGAAATTCAATGTGCACTTTCGATTTCCGCGACACGCGAAGCTGTCGTTTGTGGGAATCGAGCTGACGATATTCTGATTACAGCATTGTGTTATCGCCAATATCGCACATTTGATTTTCGGGTTGTATTGAGAGTGATGAATGTTGAAATGCATTTCTTATATAAACTGCTTGTAGCAGTGGTTAGTGTAGTGTTACATTGGTGGTGCACCACATTTCCTTGTCCCTTGAACTATATCTTGTATGTTTGCTCATTAGTGAAACACTTCCTTCTTGCTCAAACTTCTCGACACTCTTGCAAGCACCCCAAAACCCTAGCCATGGCTACTAAGTTCTAGCTAGGCTTTTCAACATGTTATCAGAGCTCGTTCTACCTTGGCCTGTGGGCCCCCATGCTTCCGCTGCTGCTTTCCTGTCTGTCGCGCGCCCCGTGGCGCGCGACGCCTTATTTTTCTTCCCGCCGCGCGTTCGGGTCGCGCGGCGGTTCGCTGCTCCGTCGAAGCGCACCCCCCACCCCCTCGTCGCCTGCAGCAGACCCGCCCGTCACCCCCGCTGCCCCGTCGTGGCGCCCTGGGGAGCCGCGCGCGACCCCGCTGCCTCGTCGTGGCGCCCTGGGGAGCCGCGCGCGACCCCCCGCTGCCCCGTCGAGGCGCCCTGGGGAGCCGCGCGCGGCCCCCGCTGCCCCGTCGTGGCGCCCTGGGGAGCCGCGCGCGACCCCGCTGCCCCGTCGTGGCGCCCTGGGGAGCCGCGGGCGCGACCCCCGCTGCCCCGTCGAGGCGCCCTGGGCGCCGCGCTCCCCCCCCTCCCGCTGCCTCGTCGTGGCGCCCTGGGGAGCCGCCCGCTGTCCCCCGAATCGCTTCCGGATCGCCTCCCCGCTGCTGCCTTTGTTAGGGTTTGGGGGTGGCGCGTGTGGGGGTGGCGCGTATGGGGGTGCTGGCTCTGTGCTCCGTCCCCTGCTCCTCCTCCTCCTTCGTCTCCCACTGCTGCAGCTGCCGCTGAGGGGGGGTGGATATGTGGGAGCCGAGGGTTAGGGTTTAAGTGGGGGTGGCGTGTGAGTGGGGCTAGGGATGCAGCAAAGAGGCGTGTGATAGGGGGGTGTGGGACTGTTAGGGGGGGGGAGAGTGGAGGTCGTTGTCGTGTCGTCTGCAGCGCCTGTAGTCCGGAGCCGTCGTGCTCTCGGTAGCCCAGCGAGCCTGCTTCGCCAGTCGCCTGTGGGTCAGTTGCTCCTGTGTGTGCTCGTCGTAGCCGCGGAGCCAGATACTCCCGTAGTCCGGTGCCCTCGTGCGCTCGGTAGCCACTGTGCGCGCCGCTCCTGTTGCCCGTTGTGTCTGCAGCTTCGCCCATCGCCTGCAGCAGATCGCCCCCCACAGTTTCTCCTCCTCCTCACTTGCCCTCTCTTGCTGCGCTTGGTGTGCCCCTGCAAGGGTGTCTCTGCATTCGCTTCCTGCTGCAAGCAGTTTAGGGGGTGTGTTGAAATGCATTTCTTATATAAACTGCTTGTAGCAGTGGTTAGTGTAGTGTTACATTGGTGGTGCACCACATTTCCTTGTCCCTTGAACTATATCTTGTATGTTTGCTCATTAGTGAAACACTTCCTTCTTGCTCAAACTTCTCGACACTCTTGCAAGCACCCCAAAACCCTAGCCATGGCTACTAAGTTCTAGCTAGGCTTTTCAACAATGAATTATGTCATCTCGCTCATTTCTGGACACCGAATTTTGAGGGTACACCTGGCGACCATTCCGAAACATGATACCAAATACGTAAATGTTTAGTAAAAGCTCCAAGGTGTACGCGCTGGACACGCCCTTATGAAGACTTCTCTTCCACCTTGCGCTGGACACGCCCTTATTAAGACTTCCCTTCCACCTTTTGACTTCCTCCCACTCCTTTCATTAATAACTCATAGCAATAAAATATACATATAACCCTTGAATCCTTAAAATATACATATAACCCTACATATACATACTCAAGCGTTAGTAACACAACTCTTGAATCCTTGTCCTGTCACATGCGCTCACGTGGACAACAAGCCACGTGTCCACCCTAGAGTTGCCCTCTTCATTCCTCCTCCTCCCACCCACCTCCACCCCTCGCGGCCGCTCTTGTCCGCAAGTGACTCCCCTCTGGTCCATTTCCCCCATGTGCGCGACTTCCCCACCGACCCTCCCCGTCGGCTAGCCGCGGCGTCAAGGCGCTGGGGAAAATCGAATCCTTCTTCGCCTCTGGCGCCGCAAGCCAGATCCAAGTTCCGAATTACATCGCACCTGCCGCCATCACTGCCCCAACTGGCTCCACCACGAACCCCCTCTCCCCCTGCTTTCCTCTCCCGCCTGTTCCTGGTGCACACCACATCCTCTTCCTCTCCACACTATCCTCTTCTTTTTGCTGCTCTTTCCCCCTTCTGTTACTGCCCCTCCGCTCCACCTGCCATATCCCTAAACGACTCATCGAGAAAACACCAGAGAACACACATGCCACTAAATGGCAGCAGCAGCATCTGTCGTGCTGGCACCCACTAACCTCGCCACCACCTCTCTTGTCCCCTCCGCGGAGCGCGTTTCACAGCACAGCAGTAGCGGGTTCGGTATTCGCTGCTTGGATCTGGTTTCAAAGGCATGGGCTTCTGGAAGCTTGAATCCTCTGTCCGCACCCGCCATGTCAGCTCTTTCCTCCTATCCTCCACCGCGTGTCGCCACTCGTCCCCGCATTTCTGGCCGGATGAGCTCCGATCGGCTCGGGTCCCATTGGAGCTATTACTACAAACGCCACGCAGCCGCTTCGAAAGGTCCCGTGTTCGGATAATCCATTCCTTTTTCGCTTTCACGCAGCCACGCCACGCTGCTGTACGAGCAGCGTACCAGCCCGTACAAGCATTATTACCCGTCAACTCACCAGCCCGGTCTGCACACTGTCGCCCTGCTGCGCTGTCTTTCTCCGGCGACTATTATAATACCTCGGGCCGTTTGTCGCGCGGACCATTCCAAGCGTCGCGCGAATCCGAAAGGTCCACCTGCCGATATGACTGCGTGCGTTCCCTCTCGCAGCACCGCGCCCGCGTCGCGCGAATCCGTCGCAGCGTCGCACGGCGGCGGGGGCAGCGGCGGGTCGTGGGAGTCTGAAGTCACCATGTCAGGCAACGTCACCCGCGCGCACCACGGCGCGTTCGCCTCAGCGCCTAGAGCCGCCCGTATTGCCGCCGCCAAAGGCGCCGACTTGTGGCGCGACGAGTCCATCTGTCCGATCCCGTCGCTCAATTGGAAGGACGCCGCGGCGGGGCGCTCCGCCACTAGTACGGCGGCGGCGGCGGCGGCGGCAGGGGCCTCGGCGGTGGACGGCGACGGCGGAGCAGCGCTGGTGATGTCCGAGGTGTGTCCCATCCCCCCCGTGCTCTGGCGAGTGCCGCCGCGCGCGCATGAATTGCTTGGCCGCGGGCCGCCGAACGCCAGGGCCGCCTCGCCGCCCGCCCGCATCGCTCACGTCGCCGTGTCGCGCGGCGGCGGCGGCAGAAGCCGTCGCATCGTGCCCCGAAGCTGTAGCCTCGACGACGGTCCCGTAGACGGCGGCGGCGGCGGCGCGGGCGCGACACCGTTACTGAAGCCCAACTGGCCGTTGGGACGGTCGAGCAGTGTCGACGACGTTATCCCCCCTTCCGACGCGCATGACTCGGCGAGCCCAATCTTCCTCGCAAGCGGCGGCGGCACCAGTAGCGGCGGCGGCGGCGGCGGCGGCGGCGGCGGCTGCGCGTTCGCGAGCAGCGGCAGCAGGGGCCACAGGCGGCGGCACTCCGCCGTGCCCGACCTGGGCCGCAACAGCGCCACCTGCGGCATCAGCAGCGACAGCGGCGGGCTCGCAGCAGGCAGTACTGCGGGTACTAGTATCGCCGCGGGCGATGCCAGTATTGCTGCTGCTGCAGCCGCCATCGCCAGCAGTACGAGTGGAGCGGTCGCTGCAGGCTCGGCGGCGCTGGCGGGGCATCCGCGGTGGAACCCGCTGCATCGAGGAGGCAGCATGGGGGTTGGCGGCCACACGGCACGAGGTGAGCGCGGGGGTTGCGCGGCATTGCAGGGTGCGCGGGGCAGGGCGTGGGGTGCGCGGGGCAGGGCGTGGGGTGCGCGGGGCAGGGCGTGGGTTGGCGGCGTACCCTATAGACCTCCGCAACTCAATCCTTTTTCTGATCCTCTCCTTTTCTTGTTCCCCCCTCCACCCTACCTTCCCTCTCCCCAACCCGCTGATGCGCCGCGTTCCCCGCCCCTTCCTTCTCAGACCACTCCCCCGCGCGTCGCAGTCGCCTTATCCGCATGCGACAAGCAGCGGGGCACGGCCGGCGCAGCAGCTGGGACGGCACGTGCTCGCCCGACCCCACCAGCACCGCCACCAGCAACGAGGGGCAGCGGCGCGGGGCAGTAGCAGCGGCCAGTAGCTCCTGTGAGGTCGTGGCGGCGGCGGCAGCGGCGGCGGCGGCGGCGGCGGCGGGGGCGGGGGCGGCCCGCACAGGGACCGGGGTGCTTGATGGCCGCGCGGGCGCTGCTGCTCGCGTGGCTTCCGCGGCGGGCGGGTCCCCCTTCTCCCCGCCTAAGATGCGCGCCAGTGCTGCTGCGCGCCATGGGAGCACCCTTGGCGCTGCTGCGCGGCACATGCACGGCGAGGGGGAGGGGGAGGGGGAGGGAGCGCGGGAGGTGCAGCGGGAGGGGGAGTGCGAAGGCGAGGGAGAAGGGGAGAGTGAGGCGGAGGAGTGTTTGTCACAGTGCCTGAACTGGGAAGGTAAGGAGACAAGCTGACTGATGCATGTGCATGGAGTGGCGCCTGTGTGCCCGTGTTTGCAGTGCACAGCCATGTTCCTGTGCTCGCACTGCTACTTCTCACTGCTACCTCTCTGCTGTTTATGCCACCTGCTATCCGAATCTCAATCGTCTCTCATCCTGCACCCCACCTCCCATCTGTGCCTCCCCATCTGTGCCTCCCCATCTGTGCCTCCCCATCTGTGCCTCTCCGTGCTGCCTCCACGATGTGTGCCTTCCCTTTGCGATATGCGTGCATCAGGCGTGGAGCAGCTGTGTGAGAGCATGCAGGCAGCAGGCATCGCCATCGACAGCATCGACATCATCGCACTGCCCCTCGGCCCCTCCATCCACTCCTCCACCCACTCCCATGCCCGCGCTGCTGCCACCCTCCCACCGCCACCCACCGCAGTGCCAACCCCAGACTCCGTGCATGCAGCAGCAGGAAAGCCACCAACGCCAGCTGCAGCTCTCGCCGCCGTGTGTGAGCCTGCTGCTGGGGTGCTAAAGCCTTGCTCCCTGCACCCTGTACGCACTGCTGCGTGTACCGGCCCTGCCTCCCACCCGCCTGCAGCAGCAGCGGGAGCAGCGGCGGTGGGAGGAGTGGCAGGAGCAGGAGCGGGTGGGTACGGGGTGTCGCTGGCAGTACGGTTCTGCGGCATGTCCACATGGTACCACCCAGGGGACAACACCACCACACCCGCATTCCAGCACTGACCGCTGCCCTGACCGCTGCCCTGACCGCTGCCCTGACCGCTGCCCTGACCGCTGCCCTGACCGCTGCCCTGACCGCTGCCCTGACCGCTGCCCTGACCGCTGCCCTGACCGCTGCCTTGACCGCTGCCCTGACCGCTGCCCTGACAGCTGCCGTGCACCACCACGCACATGCACAATTCATGTCTCAGCGTTGCTGTGGCGCAAGAAATCAGTGCGATGGGTTGGAAGTGGAAGTGATGCGAGCACTTCAGCATGGGGCGCACTGACTGCTGGCTATCCTGCACTGCAGCTCTTCTAAGGTTCACTGCGGGCCGCCCACCATGGGCAACCGGGGCAGTTTGCAATGCTTGCCCATGCAAGCTGCTCCCCTTGCCTTTGAAGGCCTGCCCTGAGGTTACCTCAGCTCGGAGCCCAGGTGCTTTTTGTTTCGGTCACACGTACCTTTGAGCGAATTCCTGCTCCACAAGTTCCTGCACAGATTTTCAAATGCTTTTGTAGGAAGATAATGGTACTGTAGTGTCATAGTAGTGAGAGTACCGTACATGCCATTTTAATATTAATTTTGGAAACTAATGTAGGTTACTTGTACCTAGCCGTGTATGAATTGGATGGTAAATTCACTGCTAATTGCTGATGCTACCGTATCAATCTCACATGGTCCTTCCCATCTCACATGGTCCTTCCCATCTCACATGGTGCTTCTCAACATGCTTTTTAGACACCTCTTGTTCACTTAGGACGCGGCGGCACATCCAGGAGGGAAGCCATCTGGACTAGAAATGTTGCTGGAGTGCAATCATGTATGCATAGCATTGTGGGGATCTAAACTGTTAAGTTTTGTTATATACCCTGCTTGCTGTGTGTTCTAGTGTAGCTACAGTGGTGGTGCACCAATGTGCTCACCTTTCTTTGCTATATCTTGTAACCTTGCTGTAGTGAACCTCACCTTCCTGTTTCTCTCGCTCACGCTACCCCAAACCCTAAGGCTACTATTCTGACATGGTACAGAGCTGGTTCTTTCCCGGAACCTTCTCTTTTTTTTTTAGAATCATGGGCCCGCCCGTACTACAGCGCGAAATGCGCTATTTTCTTCGTCCCGTCGCGCCCTGCGCCCGTCTGATTCGTCGCCCCGCGGCCCCCCATTTCGTCGCCCCGCGGCCCCTGATTCGTCGCCCCGCGGCCCCCCATTTCGTCGCCCCGCGGCCCCCGATTCGTCGCCCCGCGGCCCCCCGTTTCGTCGCCCCGCGCCCCCCCCCCGTTTCGTCGCCCCGCGGCCACCCGTTTCGACGCGCCGGGGCCCCCCGTTTCGTCGCCGCGGACGCCAGCGCCGGCGGGCGCCAGCACCAGCATGGACGCCAGCGCCCGCGCCAGCCCGGACCGCAGGCGCCAGCGCGAGCGTGGCCCGTCAGCGCGGACGCCACCACCGCGGCCAGCCGCTCGCGCCTGCGCACCAGCCAGCGCCACCGCCAGCGCCAGCAGCAGCTACCGCCGCCCCGCCCCCGCCCGCCCTCCCTCCCTTCCGCTGCTTCCGTCGTGGGGAGGGAGGAGGGGGAGATGTGTGGGTGGCGTGTGTGAGCTGCCTGCAGCCCGTCCCTCCCCTCTCTCTTACTGCAGGGATTGTCGCCGTAGAGAAGGGGGGGGGGGGGAGAGAAGTGCAGAAGGTGAGGGGGTGGTGATAGTGAAGTTGACTGGAGTGTGAGGGTGAGCATTGGGGGGATGGCAGATTCATGGAGTGAGGTTAAAGGGGGGTGGTTGAGTTGAGTTGAGTTCTGAAGGTTCTTAAGAGGGTCCGCCGCTCCTGGCCCCCCACCTTCTGAAGGTTCTTAAGAGGGTCCGCCGCTCCTGGCCCCCCACCTTCTCTCCTTTTCCCTCACTCCTCCCCAACCCCCTTTGTAAACGGAGGTTCGTAAGCGGGTCCGCCGGTCCTGGCCCCCCACCTCCTCTCCTCATCCCTCTCTCTCTTCCCTCCTCTCCTCTCCTCTCCTCTCCTCTCCTCTCACCTCCTCCTCCTTCCTAACCTCTCTACCCTCTTCCGCTGCGCCACGTGTACCTGTACTAGTTATCACGGCAAGCAGGTTAAGGGGGTGTGTTAAGTTTTGTTATATACCCTGCTTGCTGTGTGTTCTAGTGTAGCTACAGTGGTGGTGCACCAATGTGCTCACCTTTCTTTGCTATATCTTGTAACCTTGCTGTAGTGAACCTCACCTTCCTGTTTCTCTCGCTCACGCTACCCCAAACCCTAAGGCTACTATTCTGACATAAACAGCAATGACCGCACGCACAAGTAGCACTTTGAAAAAGTACAAATGTACCACGGAACCTTCCTACTGGTACCGTATGCCAGTGAACCAAAACCTACTCATTACCGTACATGCGAATCTAGTACCCCCTGGTAGGCTTCAGATGCAGCCAGCTCCTGACGCCATCAGCAATCGAGCCAATGCTCATGGATGAGATCGCACTAGGATGTGAGCCAGAAGACCCCTCACACTCCATCCCACCATCTCCAATCGACACGAAAGGCATATTCGTTGACGCGGGATCCCCGCTGCCTGCACTCTCTTCCTTCCCGATACCCTCCCTCTCCTCCTCCTCCTTGTCAGGGCAGTGCTTCTCAATGAGTGCACTGAGGCGGTATGCCACGTCCTTCATGCTAGGCCGCAGGGTGCCTGGGGATTTCATGCAGTCCAGAGCCAGGTCTGCAAATTCCAGTATGGCCTCCTCGCTTACCGCCGGCATCCTGCTGTCTTTGAGCTCATCCAGTTAAAAGGCCTCCATCTTCTTTCTTGCCTGGAGGGTGCCCACACAAGGATTATAGAGAGGAGTGATGTTAGATTGGAGCAGGATAACAGGCAATAGCGGTGGAAGGCTGCAAGAAAGAGGAATATATGAATGAACGAGGTCAGGGACAGATTTGATATTGATAACCATACCCATTCTCTGATATGCGTCTCTCGGGAGACCTTGGGTGACTTTCCACTGAGCAACTCTGTCAAACTATATGTGCTGCATATTGTCTAGGCTGTAGTGGGGTAGCCCATATGGGGTACAACCCAATTAGGGTTTACTACTTGTACTCCTGCATCTTGTTAGTTCATTCATTCCTGCTGCTAGTTTCTAACATGGTTTCAGAGCACTAAGGTCCGTAGGACCGTTTTTTTTCGGGCCCACCTACCGCTGCGGTTACCGCGCTACCCCACGTACCTGCCTGCCTTGCCTTGCCTTGTGACGTGCTGCACATGCGCTGCCTCCTGCTGCCCTAGGCCAGCGCGCTGCCCCTAGAGGCCCGTAAGGCCCGCGCAGCCTCTACACGCCCGTCAGGCCCGCACACAGCCCCTGCAGACCGTTAAGCACACTGCTGCCGCGCGCTGCCCGCACCGAGTCGCGCGCAGCCCGCTGCAGCCGCGCGCAGCCCGCACCGAGCCGCGCGCAGCCCGCTGCAGCCGCGCGCAGCCCGCACCGACCCGCGCGCAGCCCGCTGCAGCCGCGCGCAGCCCGCACCGAGCCGCGCGCAGCTCGCAGCTGCCGCGCGCAGCCCGCGCCGAGCCCACGCAGCCCGCGTCGAGCCGCGCGCGGCCTGCTACGGCCTCGCGAGGCCCGCGCGCGGCCCGCAGCAGCCCGCGCCGAGCCGCGCGCGGCCTGCTACTGCCTCGCACGGCCCGCGCGCGGCCCGCAACAGCCCGCGCCGAGCCGCGCGCGGCCCGCTACTGCCTAGCGCGGCCGCGCGCGGCCTGCATCAGCTTAGCGCGCTGTCAGCGCAGCCCGCGCCGAGCCGCGCGCGGCCCTCTGCCTCGGCCCCGACCTGCCGCTGATGCGGCCCCGCCCTGCAGCTGCCACGGCCCCGACCTGCCGCTGATGCGGCCCCGCCCTGCAGCTGCCACGGCCCCGACCTGCCGCTGATGCGGCCCCGCCCTGCAGCTGCCACGGCCCCGACCTGCCGCTGAAGCGGCCCCGCCCTGCAGCTGCTTCGGCCCTGCTCTGCAGCCGGTGTTGCGGCCCCGACGTCGCCGCTGTCGAGCGCCGGCCCTGCTCGCCCGGTGAGCGCCTGCTCTCCCAGCCTTTGGTGAGCGACTGCCTGCCTGCCTGCGTGCCTGCCTGCCTGCCTGCGCGCCTGCCTGCCTGCCTGCCGGCCTGCCTGCCTGCCTGCCGGCCTGCCTGTCTGTCTGCTTGCCTGCCTGCCGGCCTGCCTGTCTGCCTGCCTGCCTGCCTGCCTGGCTGCCTGCCTGCCTGCCGGCCTGCCTGCCTGCCTGCCTGCGCGCCTGCCTGCCTGCCTACCGGCCTGACTGCCTGCCTGCCGGCCTGCCTGTCTGTCTGCCTGTCTGCCTGCCTGCCTTCCTGCCTGCCTGCCTGCCTGCCTGCTTGCCTACCTGCCTGCCACGCCTGCCCTGCCCGCGCTGCTGCTGCTGCTACTGCTACTGGCAGGTGGCCAGATGCAGCTCCAGCGACGTTCACGCGAGCCTCTCACGCCCCAGCAGCTTAGTGAGTGGTATACTAGCTGGGGTTGTCGCGGTAGCCGTCGTAGCTGTCGCCCTGGGGCTGGTCAGTTGGGAGCGTCTAGCAGTGGCCAGCTGCAGCTGCAGGGGCGTCCACGCGAGCCACTTACGCCTCGGCAGCTCCAGGAGTGGTACGCTCAGTGTAGCAGGTCTACCCGTACAGTTCGCTGCCCGTACGTCATTCGCACAGGTGCTAGGACTGGTCAGCCTTGTGGGACGCTTGGTCACACACAGTCCCGCTGCTTCGCCCGTCTGAGCGACGCCTGGCGCACAGTGTTTGGCGACGAGGCTGAGCTCCCCACCTGGCTGGAGCTGCATGGACAGAGGGTAGATATCTTTGCGCTTGACTATGATGCTATTCTCACTGCCATGTATGCCTTGTCTACTAGTGCTGACCGTGCCTGTTACCTGTGCGTACCGCCTGACCCTGGTGAGGCTGCTGCCCTAGGTGCTAGTGCGTCTCCTGCTCTAGGTGCTGGTGAGGCTGCTGCTCTCGGTGCTAGTACG